TTTGTTTTTCATGGTAAGAGCATGTATCTTACTTGAATCGAGTAATAAAATATGGTTTCATTTACCGTTATGAAATTATTCACACGTAAATGTTCACGGATATTATCTTTTTGCTGTCGTAATAATGGTTTGACAACAAGTGGAAAAATTATGTGTGTAACTTGCTTTTCATACATTTAACCAAATAACATGAGTATACATTCCACAAATTTGTTTTGCATAGTAATAGTAATAATAGTAATTAATTTTTTGGAAATTGAACATTTTGTTTTTTATTCTGGAAAGCATTAGAATTTTGATATTCTATAAGCTGTTATAATGCTATATATATTTTATCTAAATTTAATATATACGCTGAAAAAAAATAGTTTCATAAAATTATCGATTTTCATATATAGATTCGAGATACTCCTGGAATATTTTGCTGTTTGCTCCAGCATTTATTTATATCAACTACAGAATAACTTAATTCATTTTCAGTGTCCTCAGATTATTGTCTAATATACTTAAGAAAAAAAAATACTAGGATGCTGTATTGTATTTTTTTTTTTATTTTGTAGGCATTATGTTAATGCCTTTTCATGCGATGATTAAATGTTGGTATTTGCTGTAAACCGGGATATATATATATATATATATATATTATATTATTTAACTTACGAGCAAGCAATTTATTTTATACTGACAAATAATAGCTATATATGAAAGTAGCCCTTGTCCGGCATTGCTGCAAAATGAAAAAGTTGTAAAGTACTCGTATTTAATCTAACAAATTAATCAAAATAGATAGGTCAACCATTGGGTTGCCTTCTAAAAACCACTATAAACAATAAAAAATTAGGCAAAAATTTCCTTTGCATGATGCAATATATATCTGTTTTTGCATGAAATTCATTTCTGATGTCTCAGCGTTAATATGATGAGAACACAAAGTTCATTTGTATTGAATACAAATATGACTGCGAAAAAATTCTATGTAAACAACAATGAGAACCAACTCTTTCACATGGCATGGCTGACATAATTAACAATAATAAATATTTGAATTTGGGTATAAATAAACTTTCCTAAATGCAATGGTTAAAATATATTTCTCCTTATTTCAAGTATTGGTTACAATTTATTTTTTCCCTTTTTTATATAGTAATTTTTTCACCACCTGTCCTGAAATGGATGGCGAGTAAATTTGAAGGATTAAAAATAAAATACTTTAGAAATACAAAATTTACTGACCATTACAGAGATTTTGAAAAATTGACGTATATTGATATAACATAAATATCTTTTTCAATCTAGCCCTGGCAGTGTTGTGGCGTAGTTCTCTGGCAAAGTGTGTTTGGATGATCCTCGAGGCGGCTTTTGTAATTGTCTGAATGTGTTCATATTTCATCGTTGATTGTGTTAATGTCGCGTCTTTATGTATTATGTATTTTTTCACTTATTGGTGGTTAAAAATGTCAATGGTTTAGTTGATCATTAATCACATTTGGTAAAGTCTCCAAGTGCACCAACTAGAAACATTTCTTCAGACTTCATCATTTTTTCCAAATATGTCTCACACAAACTATATATCCATTTGAGTCATAAATGTATAATGATATTAATTTTTATGATTAATACTCATCAAGTATATAAACAGGTTAACCGTCGACTCCATCGATTACCTGCAATATTCCAAATTTATTTTCCAAACCTATTTTTAACCTCATGATTAATGCATATGGTTTAATACAGGTGATAACTGCACGTGAATTGTTTTTCCAAATGATTAATAATTTATAATTCTCTAATAAATGGAACATTTACAGTAGGAATACATACATATCTAGAGATAAATTCAGTTAAAAAACTGATAAGGCAGACACAGGCGCCAAGACTAACAATGAGTCAATGTCAACATTATGGTTATCGCCGCATATAATATTAACATTCAAAAAAATATTTACTTGGCTCATATTTATCACGTCATGAAACAAACGGGTGATTAATTAAATATGTTTGTGTATGAAGAATTTTATTATCTTTCAGAGCACGTGTAATGTTATACCTCGAAATTGTATTACATACGCCATACAAACATTCGAAATTATTATTTTTCAGAAAAAGCCTAAAATTGCGGCTCTGGTTTCTCGAAATTTTTCAGTGTACCATACAAAGATTCAGAATTATTATTTTTCAAAATTGCGGCTCTGATACTTAATTTTTTTTATCCTCATGAGAAACATATTATTCAAATCAACAGATGGTAACAGAAATGACGAGGCGTGGATTTAACATTTTGTTCAATACATTGAAATGCTCTTTCTTCTAAGAACACCATTTATACTTGTTTTTTATCTGTTCCCAATAATGCTGATCAGTTCTTCTCGATCCTTTTGAAACATTTCTTAATCAGAATTTAAGTAAGATTTCACATTTATACTTTTATAAATATTTCTAATGAATGTTTTCTGTTAGTTTGAAGCAAAACCAGAAAAAAAGAAGTTGATTTTTTTTTTATTTTTGCTAATTTTAACAATCCGATTACAATATAATCTATAAGTTAAAAGTGATGGTATTCAAAATCACAATCAAGAAAAAAAAATAAAGATAGTTGATATGTAACAAATCAAAGTATGATAATAGTATGAAGATGTTGCATTATATTTCTATTGCAAACGATTTCATTGCTTTATTTTTAATTTCATTAAAATCAACTTCATTAAAGAGACGTTTAAAATTAAAATTATAATTTACTCGTGTGCTGTAGTATTATGATATAAATAGAATTGTGGGGTGTATAAAGGGACTTTTCCGTATTCACATCTGTTGTTATTGTAACCCGACACTAAATCAATAATTCAGTAATTCCCATAATGAGTAGGTACACTACGAGCATTTTTGTTAGATAATCATGATAAATTGTTTTTGAAAATATATTTTGTTAGCAAGTACTTGGTTATTGTTAGTTATCATTAATAACAGTTAATAACTGCTGACTAAATTTTCAGAATTTTAAAAAGCGCTAAATTAACATTCCTAAAAGATAATGTTTACGCGCATTAGCGTTTATAGAAATTCAAATGCCTTATTGTAAACCAAATTCAAAATCTTAATATTTTTATTCTCATTAGAAGTGCAGAAGTTTTCTAGCTCGAGTTAATATTTTTAACTTGCCGTCGGGTAAGTTACAGTAATAGCAAAAAAAAGTTTCGAAGGTTTCTGAACATTTTGGCACATCTTAGAAAAAAATGTAATGTGTGTGTGTATGTGCATGCGCGCACTTGTATGTGCGGATACAATTTTTTGTCCACGATTTCGTGAGCACCGGTTCGAATGATTCAGAAAAATATACAATGATCAACCGGTTTGAATGATTCAGAAAACATTCCATTCCTATTGATGGGGAAATGTGCGAATAAGTCTTTGGCAAAGGCAGGTCCAGCAGTTTCGGAGATACGGGGCCTAAAAGTGGAAACAATTGCATTTTAATGTTTGAGAGAAAACGGAGCGTCTGATTTGAATGATTCAAAAAAACATTTTACTTGTATTGATAAAATGAAAGTTTATCATAATTGTTTTGGGAAGTCAGGTTCAGCGGTTTTGGAGATCGAATAAAAAAGGTTAAAAAAATACAATTTGGCAGTCAAAATAGCATTAGATATTTGCATATCAAATTATCAGATTTCATAGGAAATAGTACAAATTTTGTTTACATCAATAAAAACATAGAAATGTTTTTTTTTTTTAATTTTATTTTTATTGGCCTCTCTTACTCGAGCATTTAGCCACCTACATTATTTTACACAATCTTCAATTTTAAACAATCTTCTTCATATAATCATATTCTTTTTTTCTATACTTCTTAACTTATCTTCATTCTTCTTTACTATCTTCTCATTTCATCTTCTATCCACATTTTTCTTTTTCTTCTATACTTCTCATTTCTTCTTCTAAATTCTTTCTACTTCAATTCATTTTTAATACTAATTCTCTAATTTTTATACATTTTGATTTTATATACATATCTTTTTATTACAATTCATAATTCTATTATTATTCCAACTTAACTAGTTAATATTTTTTCAAATTCTTGCCAGAGATTCGAATTCGGAACCACCAGCATCTGAATCGGGAACGCTACTCTTGAGCTAATCCCGCCACCATTTCTATTTTAAAATAAAGATTTTAAAATAAAAATTACAAATTGCGGCACGGAAAATTCAAGCAATTTGCCCAATTTGTTTTATATATATAATTAATCAGATCCTTAAAGTTTTTTAAGATTATCAACTCACATTAAAAATTGTTTGTCGCTGGTCACAGTATCTAATTTCGTAATCCACAGTATCTGTTTTGTATCTAATAATCTACTTTACCTCTCATCCAGATTAATCCGGGTTGAACTGGTATCAATTTGTATGTCGTTGAGTGTGCATAATTTTGCGCGATATTTAGTTTGGCCACCACTGCTCTATTGTAGTGTTTACTTGGTGAAGTCTCCTTACGGTTTGTTTACAAGCGGAATGGAGCGAACGGGACGGCCGTATACATTGTAGCCTGCTCGCACCGAGTTTTGGTAGGGGACCTTTCTTCAATCAAAACAAATACATGCGAGCTTGCGCACTGTTTTGTTACGGCCAGACTATCATTTCCGTTCTCCTATAGATTCAGTCTGCTGAGAAACGTCGTACAGTAAAGACGTACATTTGGACTAAAAAAATACATAAATATATGCTATACAAATACAGCATATAAACAAACATTAAGTGCAACTAAACAACAATCTAAGTGTAACTTTGGAGGTGACAAAGCAACAGTCTGTGATAAAACTCCCAGTGTGATTTAATAAAATTGTAAAACAGTGTTGGCCTGAATTTTTCTTGGAATAGCCCAACGTGTGATTGATTACTTCCTCGCACAATCCGTTTATTATCAGTGGAGGTCTACAGCCATTTTGTAGACTGTATTCAACCAGTTGTGCAACCAGCGCCGCATTGGATTCAACGGATAACGGCGATATGCCGACCAAACAGCAGTCGACCGCAGGGTCGCTGGTAACGAATGTCCACGTTGTCGAAGACATTGTCAGCGAGATAAAAGAAAACCTGAGGTATCGAAATGTAGCACTCAAAGCAAAATCCAGCCTCAAAACGCCCGTGAGGAGATCGACGCCCTATCACATACCCTGCCGGTCCTGGAGCGAGGACGCGGCGGCCATTAAAAGTAAAAAGCAACGGGAGGAGGAAGAGGATCCTTACGAATTGCTACAAGCACTTATAGATAACAATACGTTAGTTAAGGAAGCCGTCCGAAGGTTGCAGCAAGGACTTTCGGCCAAACAGCGCTACTTCTACGAATCCGACGAGGAGTGCATGAGCCCGGTGCTACGAATGTGCCGGCTCGAATTGTGAATAGGGCGTCAATGTAGGTTAAATTATTATCGCAATGTTTTTCTATTGTTATTGTTTATACGATGCAATGGCAATGCGATGAGCGACAATGGCTGTGTATAAAATTAAAGAGGTGTGCGCGACCCGTGTGATTCCGTATCATAGTCTGATCCATTTATCTCGTTCCATCCACGATTCGGCCGAGTTCGTACGAGTCCGGCAGAAATCGCACGAGCGGCATTCAAAATGGTCGCCCGTACTCGTGTATTCGTACTCGTACTCGTACTCGTACCGTTACACATGGGACGGAGAACTGAATACCATATGATGATAAAGGATTCATGCATAACAAGTTTGGGGAAAATGCGCGATGTTTTTCTAGTGAAACATATATAGAACTGAATTTAAATAATTTTTTTGTTCGTTTTTGTTGTAAATACACTTACACATTATTTTTTCTTTGTATACATATATCTGTATATATTCTGCATATGAGAAGCGTAAAAATATATACTTGTATGTGTATATATGTATCTGTGAATATCTATATATGACTAGTGAAATGTGCTCTATTACGCTTATAAATCTGAACTTAAAAAAATTTAGTTTGTAATAATGTATGTTGAATATTAGTTTCTAAATAACAAAACTATTAGGTTTAATGACGGTATATGATGAATGTCTCTTAATGAAATCTTGATTGATAATTGTTTGAGAAATGGTGAATCTAATTTTGAATGCCTCTCGCATTTATGTATGTTAAATATTATGATAAACTTGGAATGTGTGTTAAATGAATTTCTTAAAAGTATTTTGGTGCTGTGTAAAGTTTTATTTGTTCTACAAAAATAGTATAACTGAAATTGTCATATCAAGATAAATCGCGTAAAATCAAACTTGTAATTATTTTGACTTGTAAATATTTGTTAAAAATGACAACTTCATGCGTTTTATTTTCGATTTTGCCAGTCTTTGGTATCATCAAAACAAACACAAAATCATGATTACATGAAAAGAGACCCCAAAAAAATATGTATTAAAATTGGTGTAGGTCTCGTAAGATCAACTTTATTGTAGAAATAATTAAGCACATTTGGTTATTGTTTGATTCGAGTTTATTCACATCTCACATTTTGTTTTGTTAAATAATCATTGATACGAGCATGTAAATATTTTTGTTATATTAACCTTTGTAATAATTAGATAAATGGGATAATCTGAGTTTATTTCAAGTCTGATGTGGATAATCTTAAATTTGAACAATTACCGCACCTTATTGAATTATTAGCAAAATGCCAAAAAATATAAAAATCGTATTGTTAAAAGTAGTGAACGATTAGTTAACGAATAATTCTTTGCTAAATCTTTATTTATTTTTTTATATATATTTATAAAAACAAAGATATAAAAATGTACCATCTCTATTACTATTGTATGATGAATTAAATTTGTTCCAAACAAGACTTTGAATCTTTCACTTCTATAATAATATTTCAGGTCAATGGTTTTCAGTGTATAAAATATACGTCAATTGTTCTATTTGTGAGGATATATCATTTCCTGCAAATGGAACATGTTTTATATTTGTTTGTGATAAAAATGTTGAACTTCGATTTGCAAAATTTTATTTCCTCTTTCTGCTGATGTGATTCATAGTTGTGGTTTTGTTATATTGAACTTTGAACAAATGTTTGGGATAGTGATTCGATAACCATGTGAATTGTGATAATGATGATTTTTCATAATTTTCTGATGATCCTTGCATAATTTTTCTTATATAATCAAATCATACAAAGTATTGATCAAGCCTAAGGTCGACTTTGATATAATAGGAATAATAATAATATTCTGGAAAATTGTCCATAAGACAAAATATGATCATACATTGTTCGTTTTGGTATTATAATTTACAAATTTTTGTTACAAATTTAATTATAAAATGCTTTCTTACATTATTTTTGTGAACCTTTCTATTTGGCTATTTGAATTATATTAACTATTACTTAGGGGTCTTGGTTTTGTTAGAACATTTGCATTTTTATATAAAGCGCGTAGCGCATTTTTCGCAACTTCAATTAATTTTTATAATTAAACCACTTCTCATAGGCCTATCATATTTTATGGGGTTCTGTTTGACTATCAACTCTATCATCGTGCGAAATTTATTCAAAATCCTAGAAGAGTAAACCTGAGGGTTCCCTTGTAAGACTTCAAAAACGTCTTCTGAAGTCTTTGTGTTTTTTATTAAAATAAATTAAGTGCTTATAAGATACTATAAATGGTATTAGTTATTTGACACAAAATACCCTTAAAGTTGTGATCTTTGATCAGTATGATCATCACTGGATTTTCTAATTAATTTATGTAATGGCACTCTAAAATAATCAATTTATTTTCAATAATTCGCCAGAACCATCTTTTGGTCTGTTATAAAATTTTCTAGTATAATCATTTCTCTCAAATTTCATTGTTACTAATGGTTAGAAGTCGACTTGAGTTCATATATCGATTAGATTATCAATTAACATTCACAAGACATTATTTTAGTCCACTTATAGTTGTACTGATTTTGACAATAAGTCTAGTATTTAACTAGACACTAAACCGAAATATATCTTACAATGCCATATCCATATATTTGTAAATATTTACATTCACATAAGTGTTCAATATTATTTTCAATCTTGAAAAGATAACAACGTCCGTGACAAAAATTATATACAAACACTATTAAATAAATAAAGTGAACCAAAATCTACACTAGCAAAACAAATTAATTTCATCATGTTTCATTCGTTATAGTAAAATATGCAATTGTTTTTAACCTATTTTATTGGGAACACTTATTTGGCAGACTCTAATTTATTTTCTTTTTATAATAATAAAGAATTTTAATTTTCATCTTAACATGACGAGTATATTCGTCAATCACAGAATAAGTTGGTCTGCTAATGGGTGAGAACTATGTTTCTTTTTACAAAATTGAAATACAGTAACTCATTTGCTCATTTTATTTGAAGAAAATTTTAGAAATATGAAATATATTGTTCGGAACGTACCTGTTTGAATAATAAATATCAAATTAGTTATCTTTTCCACTAGTTTCATCACATTTATTGAGCTATTGTATGGCGATTTACCTATTTTAAATTAGATAAAGATTTTCATAGGTTTTTACTATATTTCTCATTTTATTAGGGGTTTGGTCAATTCCTCAAACCGTGTTAGAGCGAATCCGTGTTATAGAAGTATATTTTTCACATTTTTGTTAACATTTTAAATTTATAATTAAATCACGTCAGGGCGTCTATTGAGTTCCATATATATTCCATAAAGTAACTACTGATGCAAATTGCAGGAACTTCCTGTGTCCTGCAAGAATTATTTTTTGAAAAAAATAGATTTGAGTATTTTGAATTATTTCAAAAATTTTACATCTTTTTTCAAAGCAATCGCGCTGCGTTAGCTGCGTAGAGAGAAATAATTAAGCGCGGAAGCGCCTCGATAAAAAAAAATATAAATAAAATTTGGTTTTATTATTAAAATCTCTATAAATTACCTGATAATTTGATGTGCATATGCCTAATGATCATTTTTTGTCACTTTTTATATTGGATCTCCGAAACCGCTAGACCTGCCTTTCCAAATATTTTATCAGTTCTTCATTTTGTCAATAAAAATAAAATGTATTTTGAATCATTCAAATCGGACGCTCTGTTATCTCAAAACTTGAATTTTTGGCATTTTTTGGAATTCAAAACGGTTTGTAGATACATATAGACACATACATACATACATTTTTTCTAAGGTATGCTAAAATGTTCAAAAACCTCTGAAACGTAGATATTCAAAAAAGTTCATTTTCGATTATTTTGCGAATACTATAACTTTTACCCTCCGGAAAGTTAATCAATTATAATAATTATTATAATTTAATTATTTTTACAAGAAAAAAATCATAGCTTCTTTTTGTTTGCGATGGTATTTAGATATGTGCAATATTGTTTTCAAAAACAAAAACATTATTTAATGGTTGCTGTTGCGTTTTGTAATGTGTAGACTAGCCTCTAAATATATTCATCAATTACTCGTTAAATGTGAATTCACAACAAAAGTAAATTTTAAAAGCGTTTATTTAAAATTTAGCGTTATTTTTACACATGTTTGGATTTTAAAAATGTATTTCTATCCATATAATGTTCCTCAACTAACTTCCCATGCGCATGATCATTCTCTGCCATCAATTTTCGTTTCGTATGTCGGAATATAAATATATTGTGTATACAGTGTATACTTTATTGATTTTGAAGTTTATTTTCATTGTTAACGTAGGTACTCGCTTTATATCAAATGCTATAGGTAATACATTAATAATCATGTACAATTCGAACAAGAATTGGCCTCAATTCCGAATATGGTATAATAATATATATGTATTATATAAGTTGCGTATCGGAATCGTTTTAATATGATTTTTATACTCGTCCTCCTATCATCTGTGTCACAGCTGTTTTCCCCTTGTGGAATATAGATTGACGGTTCCCTATCCCAAAACTTTATACAGGGTGTCCGAGAAATAATAATTGATAATATTGATTTGAACTGTCCTGAAAAAAATTAGAAAAAAAAATCTCACCGTGTTTGGAAATTATGAGCTTTTAAGTGCAACCTAGAGCTTCGGTGAAATTATGGTCAATTTTTCAGTTATTGCGGTTGATTTTTATTCATTTTTTTTCATTTATTAAAATTTGGAACGGTCAAAAATTATGACACAATTGTCCCAGGTTTTCAAGACCTTTTGTTGAACTATGAATTTTTGGGACACCCTGTATACGGAATTAGGAACTAATGTCGACTATGTTTCGGTTTTGGTATTGGGCATTTCATATGTAATTCAGTGGCAGCGGTTTAAATGTGAAATAGAAATTATTTAATAATGTGTTCTATATCACATTTATGCGGTTATCAATATATGAAAAAAAATCGACGTAGTAATTTGTGGGTAAGGTTGCACTTAATAG